TACTTGTGTCAGACGGGAGGAGGTGGTATTACTGTTGGGTCCATGGTATTTGTGTCAGACAGGAGGAGGTGGTATTACTGTTTGGTTCCATGGTACTTGTGTCAGACAGGAGGAGGTGGTATTACTGTTGGGTCCATGGTACTTGTGTCAGATAGGAGGAGGTGGTATTACTGTTTGGTTCCATGGTACTTGTGTCAGACAGGAGGAGGTGGTATTACTGTTGGGTGCATGGTACTTGTGTCAGACAGGAGGAGGTGGTATTGCTGTTGGGTCCATGGTACTTGTGTCAGACAGGAGGAGGTGGTATTACTGTTGGGTCCATGGTACTTGTGTCAGACAGGAGGAGGTGGTATTGCTGTTGGGTCCATGGTACTTGTGTCAGACAGGAGGAGGTGGTATTGCTGTTTGGTCCATGGTACATGTGTCAGACAGGAGGAGGTGGTATTACTGTTTGGTCCATGGTACTTGTGTCAGACAGGATGAGGTGGTATTACTGTTGGGTCCATGGTACTTGTGTCAGACAGGAGGAGGTGGTATTGCTGTTTGGTCCATGGTACTTGTGTCAGACAGGAGGAGGTGGTATTGCTGTTGGGTCCATGGTACTTGTGTCAGACAGGAGGAGGTGGTATTGTTGTTTGGTCCATGGTACTTGTGTCAGACAGGAGGAGGTGGTATTACTGTTGGTTCCATGGTATTTGTGTCAGACAGGAGGAGGTGGTATTGCTGTTTGGTTCCATGGTACTTGTGTCAGACAGGAGGAGGTGGTATTACTGTTTGGTCCATGGTATTTGTGTCAGACAGGAGGAGGTGGTATTGCTGTTTGGTTCCATGGTACTTGTGTCAGATAGGAGGAGGTGGTATTGCTGTTTGGTCCATGGTATTTGTGTCAGACAGGAGGAGGTGGTATTGCTGTTGGGTCCATGGTACTTGTGTCAGACAGGAGGAGGTGGTATTACTGTTTGGTCCATGGTATTTGTGTCAGACAGGAGGAGGTGGTATTGCTGTTTGGTTCCATGGTACTTGTGTCAGATAGGAGGAGGTGGTATTGCTGTTTGGTCCATGGTATTTGTGTCAGACAGGAGGAGGTGGTATTGCTGTTTGGTCCATGGTACTTGTGTCAGACAGGAGGAGGTGGTATTGCTGTTGGTTCCATTGTACTTGTGTCAGACAGGAGGAGGTGGTATTACTGTTGGGTCCATGGTACTTGTGTCAGACAGGAGGAGGTGGTATTACTGTTTGGTTCCATGGTACTTGTGTCAGACAGGAGGAGGTGGTATTACTGTTTGGTCCATGGTACTTGTGTCAGACAGGAGGAGGTGGTATTGCTGTTTGGTCCATGGTACTTGTGTCAGACAGGAGGAGGTGGTATTACTGTTTGGTTCCATGGTACTTGTGTCAGATAGGAGGAGGTGGTATTACTGTTTGGTCCATGGTATTTGTGTCAGACAGGAGGAGGTGGTATTGCTGTTTGGTCCATGGTACTTGTGTCAGATAGGAGGAGGTGGTATTACTGTTTGGTCCATGGTATTTGTGTCAGACAGGAGGAGGTGGTATTACTGTTGGGTCCATCGTACTTGTGTCAGACAGGAGGAGGTGGTATTACTGTTGGTTCCATGGTACTTGTGTCAGACAGGAGGAGGTTGTATTACTGTTGGGTCCATGGTACTTGTGTCAGACAGGAGGAGGTGGTATTACTGTTGGGTCCATGGTATTTGTGTCAGACAGGAGGAGGTGGTATTACTGTTTGGTCCATGGTACTTGTGTCAGACAGGAGGAGGTGGTATTACTGTTGGGTCCATGGTACTTGTGTCAGACAGGAGGAGGTGGTATTACTGTTTGGTCCATGGTATTTGTGTCAGACAGGAGGAGGTGGTATTACTGTTAGTTCCATGGTACTTGTGTCAGACAGGAGGAGGTGGTATTACTGTTGGGTCCATGGTACTTGTGTCAGACAGGAGGAGGTGGTATTACTGTTGGGTCCATGGTACTTGTGTCAGACAGCCATAAATATCGACACAGCATCCATATTGATAGGCTTATTATGGGCATTGTCCCAAATGTAATGACTTGTTATGTGTTCAGTTATTTGTTGGTCTCAACACATACATTCTGTCACCTTGAACCATGCTCCTCAATTCTCCCAAAATGCTTGTCCTGGCACCACAGACACATCTCCTCAGAAGCCATTTGACCATTGAAGCTGCCACTTCATATACTTGTTCTCGGCCATGATGACACCCCAATTTGTTCAAGAGGTTCAAATCCATGACAGCCATGTTGAAAAAGCTATGTTTGGGTTGACTGGTTGATCTCAAACAGTCACTCAACAAAGTGTTCCATGTATAAATCATTACCAGTAATATGTCTAAAGGCAACCCTTATGAATATTTCTGTTTAAAATATATTTAATAAATAGAGCTTCTAAACTAACAAGATATTCAAATAAACCTGGTTCAATAATATTTTCAGATGACACTTATTTTACTGTGTAGACCACCTCATACACTGTGGTGATGCAGACAATGGGTAGTGTATAGAACACTTCATACACTGTGACATGTAGACAATGGGTACTGCATAGAACACTTCATACACTCTGACATGCAGACAATGGGTAGTGTATAGACCACCTTTAAGACTGTGACATGTAGACATTGGGTAGTGTGTAGAACACTTCATACACTGTGACATGTAGACAATGGGTAGTGTGTAGAACACTTCATACACTGTGACATGTAGACAATGGGTAGTGTGTAGAACACTTCATACACTGTGACATGTAGACAATGGGTAGTGTGTAGAACACTTCATACACTGTGACATGCAGACAATGGGTAGTGTATAGAACACTTCATACACTGTGACATGTAGACAATGGGTACTGTGTAGAACACTTCATACACTGTGACATGCAGACAATGGGTAGTGTATAGAACACTTCATACACTGTAACATGCAGACAATGGGTTGTGTATAGAACACTTCCAATACTGTGACATGTAGACAATGGGTAGTGTGTAGAACACTTCATACACTGTGACATGTAGACAATGGGTAGTTTATAGAACACTTCATACACTGTGACATGTAGACATTGGGTAGTGTATAGATCACTTCATACACTGTGACATGTAGACATTGGGTAGTGTGTAGAACACTTCATACACTGTGACATGTAGACAATGGGTAGTGTGTAGAACACTTCATACACTGTGACATGTAGACAATGGGTAGTGTATAGAACACTCCCAGTACTGTGACATGTAGACAATGGGTAGTGTGTAGAACACTTCATACACTGTGACATGTAGACAATGGGTAATGTGTAGAACACTTCATACACTGTGACATGTAGACAATGGTTAGTGTGTAGAACACTTCATACACTGTGACATGTAGACAATGGGTAGTGTGTAGAACACTTCATACACTGTGACATGTAGACAATGGTTAGTGTGTAGAACACTTCATACACTGTGACATGTAGACAATGGGTACTGTGTAGAACACTTCATACACTGTGACATGTAGACAATGGGTACTGTGTAGAACACTTCATACACTGTGAAATGTAGACAATGGGTAGTGTGTAGAACACTTCATACACTGTGACATGCAGACAATGGATAGTGTATAGAACACTTCATACACTGTGACATGTAGACAATGGGTAGTGTGTAGAACACTTCATACACTGTGACATGTAGACAATGGGTACTGTGTAGAACACTTCATACACTGTGACATGTAGACAATGGGTAGTGTGTAGAACACTTCATACACTGTGACATGCAGACAATGGGTAGTGTATAGAACACTTCATACACTGTGACATGTAGACAATGGTTAGTGTGTAGAACACTTCATACACTGTGACATGTAGACAATGGGTAGTGTGTAGAACGCTTCATACACTGTGACATGTAGACAATGGGTACTGTATAGATCACTTCATACACTGTGACATGTAGACAATGGGTAGTGTGTAGAACACTTCATACACTGTGACATGCAGACAATGGGTAGTGTATAGAACACTTCATACACTGTGACATGTAGACAATGGGTACTGTGTAGAATACCTCATACACTTCATAAAAAGTAATGCAAGCTTGGCACCTGATTGATGACACAAGATGGTTTAGGAATTCTTGATAGTTGGTGTTAATAATGTTTTTATTTGATCCCGCACAATTTGGATTGGTGACAAATCTGGCAAAATAGCAGGCCAAGGTGGTATTTGGATGTTTTTTAGTCTCATGAAGTCTGTCACCAACTGTGCAATGTTAGTCCTACTGTAAGGTGATTTGAAGTCCATGGGTCTTCAGGAACGGGAGGAAGTGAGAACGGATAACTTTGTCACAGTGCCAAACAATTGTCAAGTTGCTATCGATGACCACTAGAGGGGTCTTGTGATGTGCAGTGATGCCTCCCTGTTCGATGATGTGTCTCCACAATTGGACATACTTGTAGACTTCCAGAACTTTGGTCCAGGGTGTTGCCAGTCTGTTGGTATAGACCCCAGGGTGACAGTATGGTGTTATGAATATGCTTAGCAACAACGTTTTGTTCAATTCCGGTTAAAAAAATTCCAGTTTTCAGATAGGTGTGGCATGATGTTTACCTGGACTGACCATCAACAAAGTTGCTTTTCACAGTCAAAACACTTACATGATTTAATGTGTGTTTGAATTGACTCGGTCCGACAAGTTCTTTGTATGTGGGATTTTATGCATGCAATGACGGGAATGCACGTGCAATTTCAGGGTCATCGTGGGTAATGATGACAAAGTGTTTGTTCATGGGATTATCATGCATGATTCTTTAAATTCCTTGGCAAGTGTATTTTAATGTGTATTTTTCTTCAGCTAATATGACATTTCCATTGGCTAGTGCAGTCCACTCAGTGACAGCTTTTTAAGCCTAGCATGATCAGTCCTCATGTCCATCCCTCTGTACAGTCTACTGTAGTTGAGCTGAATGACTGTGACTACTTGCAGACCTGTACCAGATCACCATGGCCTATGCCTACTGGAAGAGTGGAAAGATGAACGATAAATCTACGTTTGACCTATACTTCAGGAAGAATCCCTTCAAGGGAGAGTTCACAGTGTTTGCTGGGTTGGAAGAATGTATAAAGTTTATTCAGAACTTCCATTTTTCTGACAGTGGTAAGTAGCATATCAACTTCCCATGTTGAAGTGTCAAAGAAGTTGTTTATTTAGGCAGTTCTATGACCATGATGACAGGGATAGAAATATAGCCATGTGCCACTGAGCACTGATAAACATGATTAAAGATGTTTAGGTGTGTCATATGGAACTTAAGGCTGCCAACCAGAAGTATACTTTCATTAAGCAAGATCATTTTCTGTTTACTTGTGCAGAGTACATATATCACCTGCTCCTCATAATCATCACAGTGTACTTTCCTTCACCATAGACTGATTTCTAAGTATGACCTTAAGGCATGAGAGACCTATTTTAACAGTGCCATCATGATATTAGTCATGCTATTGGCCCTTCAGTACCTGTATGATTGTGACAGCAGTGTTTGAAATTAAGCATGAAAGTTAGGAGGCCCTTTTTATGACCTTCTTGACAAAACTGCAGTTTTAGGAGGCCCCTACATTAAAGTAGTAAATATAATGTGTCCGACCTCAGGGACACCAGGTTCCCATATTTTCTAGCACTGTGACTTTTAAAAATGTGAGTGATGATAGACCTATCTTAATATTTATGCATGACCCTGAGGTCAAACTCCAAAATGAGGTCTTACCCGCATGGTGGCAAAGCATGTCTCGTTTGCTTTCGTTGAGGATTTTGTTCAAAGCCACTCAAAGAGCGCGGGGAGTTCCCAGTTGAACAAGGGATTCCAGTATAACGGCGATGGCTTCATCAACAATCTTAAAAGTAGGTATATTGTGATTTTACACTCCATAACAATGACCAGTTTGACAGGTCACCTTGACATGTCATTTGCTGTTGTTTTCATAGGCATCATCCAAACTGGGCGTAACATGAATTGGCTAAGACAGACATAATGACTGATATTCATCCTTTCAAATGTGTGTAAGCCCTATATTTTATTGCCTTTACTTTTGGTGTTGTGGGGGATATGACGGTAGTCTATAATTTGATAAGATTAAGGTTAGTTTATGTACCATATCATGTATATTGCAATGGTCATGATGTTTTTTGTTTTTTGTATAAACCATAACCATGGAAAAACCTTTCATGAATCACAAATTCAGTTTTATTTGATAGTTAACTATGTGTATATGGTAATAATTATATTTCCAAAATCATGTGATGTATTCCTGTGTGGACTCGATTTATTGGGAAGAATGAAACCCCACATAACTTAGAGGTAAGGACTATGAAGGAAATATTTCGTATGCATTGGAATCAATGGGTATGAAAGTTGCATTAAACTGCAACAATAATTCTGGGTGTATCTGTTAATGTGAAGCATATAAAAAGTATTATTATACCCCCGACAAAATGTCGGGGGTATATAGTTATACCAAGGTTCTGTCCGTCCGTCCGTCCATCTGAAAACTTTGTCCACGCGATTTCTCTTAAACTATTCAGGGGATTCATCTCAAACTTAGTACATATAATCTGTGTCATATGGAGGGGTAAGTCAAAAGAAAAAAAATGTTTTTATTAATTTTCCATTTTTTTATGAATTTTTCAAACCCTAACGTCCGTCTGAAATCTTTGTCCGCACGATTTCTCTTAAACTATTCAGTGGATTCATCTCAAGCTTAGTACATATAATCTGTGTCATATGGAGGGGTGCAGTCAAAAGAAAAAATTGTTTTTATTAATTTTTCATTTTTTTATGAATTTTTCAAACCCTAACGTCTGTCTGAAAACTTTGTCCGCGTGATTTCTCTTAAGCTATTCAGTGGATTCATCTCAAGCTTAGTACATATAATCTGTGTCACATGGAGGGGTGCAGTCAAAAGAAAAAAATTGTTTTTATTAATTTTCCATTTTTTTATGAATTTTTCAAACCCTAACAAGGGTTTCCCCTGATGCAGGATTCTTGGGTATATGACTCTCAATTAAGGAAAAATATGTCCAGAAATAAATGACTGCGTCATGACTGAAGCAATTTCAAAATATCTATGTTGTTGTTTACCAGCTTTGGAATGAAAATATTACAACTACTCACCTGAATTTAATTTATAAACATTTTCCGAAGACAATATATGCAAACGTCTTAAAATTTACGTCGTTTTTAGAAGTAACATAACTTCGCATAACACCACTGCCATGGGCTAATTTGCATAGCCTGTCACATGACCAGACTTTCCTCTTGTTTTAAAACAAACGCTAAAATCAGAACAGCCGGGGGCTTTACATATTGTTTTGCATAATTATATAGATATGCTACTAAAACTGTGCGACTGTGAGGTACACGACAAAATATATGTATTCATCAAAGTGAACGTAACTCTCACACTCCTTATGGCGTCGATGACAGCATGTGATGTAAACAAAGGAAAACTCTGCAAATGGACAAAGTTTTTCACGTTTCGGCATATTTTCTCACTAAAAGTTAACCATGACATATGTTTATCTAGATGTGTAGACTCGTAAATGTTTTTATTTGTTATGCTATTTCTGATGGCGGATCATGACAGCCTGAAATGAGACTGAAGAAAAGTCTGTGCGTATTATACACGAGAGATATTTTTTTCAGGATTTAATTGCCCATAATTAGAGGTGCATATTACAGGTTACACACAACCAAATGTTTTCCCATAGACTTCTATAGTAACGTTATGATTTTTTTTAAAATAACTAAGCATTCAACAGCTATTACCTGTACGTGTGTGCACAGTTTGGCCTTAGAGCAGCAATAAAAAAAATAAAAATGACTAGCTTAGCCAGCTCCTTTTCCGAGTACCGGAAGCTAAACACACCACCCCCAGTTTCGCACCAAATGTCACCTACTTGAAAATAGCTGTGGTCACATTCAGCATAAGTCATCATGTTGAAAAAGACAGTACTAAATATAGAAAAACATGGTCAGTTTTAATAACTGGATAGATGTACATTTGAAAGACATAAAAATCTTACAGAATATCCTCCAATCACAGCCTGCAGATATCTCTCGATCTGCACTGAAGGCTCCCTACGAAAACCGCACTCTCCAAACTGGTACTGATTTGGTGTAGTAGAACCTATACACGAGTGTGTATTATACACGAATAAATATGGTATATACGAAATGTAAAGCTTTGGGCGTGTTTGTTGTTGCTAATAAACTGTATTCAACCAGAAAATATTACGAGTGTTCACAATTCTTCAGTTCAACTTCACTGTTGATAGATAATACAAGATAACTAGATAAAAGATGTAAATGAGGTAGTGGTATTAAATTATAATCTGACATGAAATGTATTTTAATATCCATCCATGATTAAAAATTAGACTGATGTTATTTATTCATCCTGTATTAGTGTCATTGTAAATTGTTTCATGAGCTGTGAAGTAATTAAAGATTGTGAAAAAATAAAACCAACAAACTGTTTTTCATTCATATATCCTTTATTTCTCTGTAGTGCAATCAGCTGAGAACATTAATTAGCACTTGGTATCCTAAACTAAAGACATATAATATTTAAAAGATACTTAACATTAAGTGTAACATTAACAGTGAACACTTTATATTTCATTAATCCTACAATAAAACATTTGACTCTCAAAAAATATTTTTGACTCCCAGAAATTCATAGGCTGAGTCATGGTGACTCTCAGATATTGGAGTCTAGGAGGAACCCTGCCTAACCTTATCCTAGCTATTTAATTTGTAACTACTGACACACTAGGTGGGTTGGGGGTATTAGTGAGCCACTCTCACTTTTGCACTTGTTTATCAATGAAATTGAAGTGACTGGCCACAATGTTTTTAAGTGTTTAATGGTAGAACACTAATTAAATTGCATTCATACAATTGACATCTGTATGTATTTCTTTACTTTCAATGTATTTTCAGATTTTTTCTGAAGGAAGGGTTTCTGCAACAAACTGTTCATGTGCCATCAGACAGAGCCAGTGTTGTGGATCACAGTATAAATTCCATGAATGTACATTGTGTAATAAAATATTTGTGGCCCAAACATACCACCCGTAGACAAACAAGTGTCACAGCCTCATGAGGGGCTATACCAATCAGGCTTTTGAGTGTGCAGTTAGATTTATTATGAAAATAAAACATAGAGTTGAGGACAAAGGCAGATGGGATTTGAATTTGAATTTGAGTGCAGTCAGCAGCTTGGTCCTGGGTGTTCCAGCCAAAGAAACAGTGTCAGAACAAGCATAATACATGCTACACATGTTGGTGGCACTGGGTTGAACAAAATAATAGAAATAACTTGAAAGTCTCACAATCAGTAAAATGAGTAAAATATTGCATGAAACATTGGTCAGTCCTAAATCTGGATTCTCCAAAATTCTCAAGAACCAGATGATTATGGAGTAGTTGGTTCTCTCTCTCAAGTTGTTCAATGTGGACCTGCATTGCCTTCATTTCAAAGTGTGCCTCACGCCCCTCCATCATTCTGTGGGGTATGATCATTCCCCTCAGCCTGCATCTCACCTCCTGCTGGAACCAGGTTCTCTGCACACCTGATAAGAAACTACAAAGAGTCACATACACTTCTGATTTAACATAAATGTTATTATTAAACTAAAAAACAATTTGCAAATACAAACTTGATTTATGATCAAACATAAATTTATACACATATTATTATAGTGGATAGTTGTAGATTCTTACACCCTGCAGGGTGACTTCCTTGGTGTTGTGTCCCTGGTATCAGTGTTTTCACTGGGCTGCACTTGTAGTCTTGTTGAAATATTTACAACACAAATCTAGGACTGAAATATAAAACATACAATTCATTTAAGGCCCCAAAGTATTTTTCAAATTATGAAGACGTAAAAATGAAACCAATAAGGCATCTATTAAAACAACTATAAGAGTTTTATAAATGATTTATTCATGTTTGCAGATGCATTCATTATAGCTTTATATATGTCTAGTCCATTTATATCCATTATTTAACCTAGAATAAGTAAACTCTGACAATAATTAATGTAATTGTTTGATTGGCACTTTGATTAGTCATCATAATGTGACTAACAGGACTTATAAATATTTTTTTTTAGTTCCAGGATATATATTTTGAGATGAATTAAATATGATATGTATAATATGTAGTCTTTATATGACAAGAAAAGAAATCAATATTGTATTAAGAAAAATCATGAGTATTTCATACTGAAATGTCATGTAAGCTCCTATAAAATCAATAGTTGACAGGCGATTTTCGCTCTTCAGTTTTGTAAAAACATGAATGAAAATTATAACTTTTGGTGAACAACTGTCCTTTATCTCGTCATACGTCTACCAGCCATCATTTCCTCAAAGATAAATTGGTCAGAACGACTATGAAAGCTCCCTTTGGAAATGCATTCGAGGAAATGGCAATGCTTGGATGCCATTTTTAAATTTTGACCTTGGGGTCATGCATAAGTATTAAGAGACGGCTATTCCCATGTGTACTGTGATCACAGGTCAAATGACAAGAAACGGAGCCTTAACAGGTGGTGATGAACAAAGCCAGAAAGTTTCCTGTACAGCCATTGACTAGTAACTGATAGTTTTCAATAACTCAACGTCCTGACATCCAGAACCTATGTCAGTGCCATGGTCTGACACTGTGTCCAGTTTGTTCTCTGTCATCCATGTTTCAGACATCTCCTACTTGAAGAGTGTGCTGCCACAGGACATTGAGCCCGACTTCTACACATACCTGAAGAACCTGAACACAGACAATGTGGTCATGTATGCTATGGATGAAGGGACAGTGGTGTTTCCCAAAGTCCCTCTTCTTGTTGTGCAAGGACCTCTGCCTGTGGTACAACTGATGGAAACAGCATTGCTCAACCTTGTAAACTATGCCAGGTATACTTGACTTCATTACACATACAGTTCATAAGACAATCGGTGGCAAAGTTTGTAGTGGAAATACTGGGGGCCTTTACGCATCAAATTAGCGTAACAAGACTGTCGTAACAACATACATGCAATTGATTTCTACCTCCTCTATTAGCTCCCTAGTTTTGGTGGAGTGAGTGAATAAATGTTGTTTAACACTGCTGTCAGCAGTATTTCACATGTATTCTTGTGGCCTGTAATCAAGTCATTTAAACTGTGCAGACATGACAACTGCTGCAATGTAGTTTCAAATTGTTTAGCGTCAAGTCAACTGATGTTTCTAAGTTACCAGTAAACATGATCAACAGCTGTAAAGTACCTTTTCCTTGTCTGATGCAGCTTGGTGGCTACCAATGCCATGAGGTTCCGACTGGCAGCAGGTAAGAAGACACAGTTACTAGAGTTTGGTCTGAGACGAGCCCAGGGACCAGATGGTGGCCTGTCTGCCTCACGGTACTGCTATCTGGGGGGTAGGTACAGCTTCAACATTGGAAACATCACACATTACCTTTAGACAGATGAAGTCAGCAGGGTTTAATGGGACGAGTAATGTGATGGCCATGCATATGTTGAAGGTTTAATGGGACGAGTAATGTGATGGCCATGCATATGTTGACAGGGTTTAATGGGACGAGTAATGTGATGGCCATGCATATGTTGAAGGTTTAATGGGACGAGTAATGTGATGGCCATGCATATATTGACAGGGTTTAATGGGACGAGTAATGTGATGGCCATGCATATGTTGACAGGGTTTGATGGGACGAGTAATGTGAAGGCCATGCATATGTTGAAGGTTTAATGGGATGAGTAGTGTGATGGCCTTGCATATGTTGACAGGGTTTGATGGGACTAGTAATGTGATGGCCATGCATATGTTGACAGGGTTTGATGGGACGAGTAATGTGATGGCCATGCATATGATGACAGGGTTTGATGGGACTAGTAATGCGATGACCATGCATATGTTGACAGGGTTTAATAGGACTAGTAATGTGATGGCCATGCATATGTTGACAGGGTTTGATGGGACTAGTAATGTGATGGCCATGCATATGTTGAAGGTTTGATGGGACTAGTAATGTGATGGCCATGCATATGTTGAAGGTTTGATGGGACTAGTAATGTGATGGCCATGCATATGTTGACAAGGTTTGATGGGACTAGTAATGTGATGGTCTTCCATATGTTGAAAGTTTGATGGGTCTAGTAATGTGATGGCCATGCATATATTAACAGGGTTTGATGGGACTAATAATGTGATGGCCATGCATATGTTGACAGGGTTTGATGGGACTAGTAATGTGATTTCCATGCATATATTGACAGGGTTTAATGGAACTAGTAATGTGATGGCCATGCATATGTTGAAGGTTTGATGGGACTAGTAATGTGATGGCCATGCATATGTTGACAGGGTTTAATGGGACTAATAATGTGATGCCATGCATATGTTGACAGGGTTTGAAGGGACTAGTAATGTAACGGCCTTGCATATGTTGACAGGGTTTGATGGGACTAGTAATGTGAAGGCCTTGCATATGTTGAAGGTTGAATGGTACTAGTAATGTGACGGCCATGCATTTGTTGACAGGGTTTGAAGGGACTAGTAATGTGACGGCCTTGCATATGTTGACAGGGTTTAATGGGACTAGTAATGTGATGGCCATGCATATGTTGACAGGGTTTGAAGGGACTAGTAATGTGATGGCCATGCATATGCTGACAGGGTTTGATGGGACTAGTAATGTGATTGCCATGCATATGTTGACAGGGTTTGATGGGACTAGTAATGTGATGGCCATGCATGTGTTGACAGGGTTTGATGGGACTAGTAATGTGTTGGCTGGGAAGATGTTTGGGATCCCTGTGCGAGGCACTCATGCTCATGCCTTCATTACTTCATTCCATTGCATTGAGGAGCTGACGATCAGGGTACGTATAACACCACAGCAACCTCATTTAAATCAGATCTTAGTTCTCTCTACCGCTAAACAATGATATGAGGACATCCATTTTTTTGTCACTTTATAACAACCTATCAAACAGAGTATCCCTTACCAGATTGGCAAAGCAACAGTTGCAATGTGTTTCTAATCATGGAGGTAACCTTGTGAAGGTTCACATGGGGGAATACCAACAGACAGTTATTGGCGAAAGGACTGATTCTGTCAAAATTATTGTCTTTGATGCCTTTTGCTATTTAGGGATTCTTAGAATTTATATTTTTACTGTTTCCATGGCAACAAGTTCATTTTGGTGTATACCTGACATAGAAATACAAAGTTCTGATTCCAAATTCCATGGTATTGTTTTGATAGTTCAAAAACTACTGAATTCCTCACCAAGTTGGACTTAAAGCAACAGTCAGATAAATTGTTTGGGCCAGGGGGTTTGTCATCTTCTGACATTGAGAGTATATTAACTGGAATAAGAAGAACATTATCTGACATTCCAAGTACATTATCTGACATTGTCCGTACATTATCTGACATTGTGGGTACATTATCTGACATTGTTGATACATTATCTGACATTCCAAGTACATTATCTGACATTGTCGGTTCATTATCTGACATTGTTGATACATTATCTGACATTGTTGGTACATTATCTGACATTGTCGGTACATTATCTGACATTGTCCGTACATTATCTGACATTCCCAGAACATTATCTGACATTGTCAGTTCATTATCTGACATTGTCAGTACATTATCTGACATTGTTTATACATTTCTGACATTTTTGATACTTTATCTGACATTGTCGGTACATTATCTGACATTGTTGGTACATTATCGGACATTCCCAGTACATTATCTGACATTGTCGGTACATTATCTGACATTGTTGGTACATTATCTGTCATTGTCAGAACATTATTTGACACTGTCCGTACATTATCTGACATTGTCGGTACATTATCTGTCATTGTCGGAACATTTTCTGACACTGTCCGTACATTAATCTGTCATTGTCGGAACATTATTTGACACTGTCCGTACATTATCTGACATTCCCAGTACATTATCTGACATTGTTGATACATTATCTGACATTGTCGGTACATTATCTGACATTGTTGATACATTATCTGACATTGTCTGTACGTTATCTGACATTCCCAGTACATTATCTGTCATTGTTGATACATTATCTGACTTGGTGGGTACATTATCTGTCATTGTCGGAACATTATTTGACACTGTCCGTACATTATCTGACATTGTTGATACATTATCTGACATTGTTGATACATTATCTGACATTGTCGGTTCATTATCTGACATTGTTGATACATTATCTGACATTGTCGGTATATTATCTGACATTGTCGGTACATTATCTGACATTCCCAGAACATTATCTGACATTGTCGGTTCATTATCTGACATTGTCAGTACATTATCTGACATTGTTTATACATTTCTGACATTGTTGATACATTATCTGAAATTGTCGGTACATTATTGGACATTGTCGGTACATTATCGGACATTCCCAGTACATTATCGGACATTGTCGGTACATTATCTGACATTGTTGGTACATTATCTGTCATTGTCAGAACATTATTTGACACTGTCGGTACATTATCTGACATTGTGGGTACATTATCTGTCATTGTCGGAACATTTTCTGACACTGTCCGTACATTAATCTGTCATTGTCGGAACATTATTTGACACTGTCCGTACATTATCTGACATTCCCAGTACATTATCTGACATTGTTGATACATTATCTGACATTGTTGATACATTATCTGACATTGTCTGTACGTTATCTGACATTCCCAGTACATTATCTGTCATTGTTGATACATTATCTGACTTGGTGGGTACATTATCTGTCATTGTCGGAACATTATTTGACACTGTCCGTACCTTATCTGACATTGTTGATACATTATCTGACATTGTTGATACATTATCTAACATTGTTGATACATTATCTGACATTGTTGATACATTATCTGACATTGTTGGTATATTATCTGACATTGTCAGTTCATTATCTGACATTGTTGATACATTATCTGACATTCCCGGTACATTATCTGACATTGTGGGTACATTATCTGACATTGTCCATTCATTATCTCACATTGTTGAAACATTATCTGACATTGTCGGTACATTATCTGACATTGTCGGTACATTATCTGACATTGTGGGTACATTATCTGACATTGTTGATACATTATCTGACATTGTCGGTTCATTATCTGACATTGTTGATACATTATCTGACATTGTCGGTACATTATCTGACATTGTCGGTATATTATCTGACATTGTCGGTACATTATCTGACATTCCCAGAACATTATCTGACATTGTCGGTTCATTATCTGACATTGTCTGTACATTATCTGACATTGTTTATACATTTCTGACATTGTTGATACATTATCTGACATTGTCGGTACATTATTGGACATTGTCGGTACATTATCGGACATTCCAAGTACATTATCGGACATTGTCGGTACATTATCTGACATTGTGGGTACATTATCTGACATTGTCGGTACATTATCTGACATTGTTGATACATTATCTGACATTGTCTGTACATTATCTGACATTGTTGATACATTATCTGACATTGTCTGTACGTTATCTGACATTCCCAGTACATTATCTGTCATTGTTGATACATTATCTGACTTGGTGGGTACATTATCTGTCATTGTCGGAACATTATTTGACACTGTCCGTACATTATCTGACATTGTTGATACATTATCTGACATTGTTGATACATTATCTGACATTGTTGATACATTATCTAACATTGTTGATACATTATCTGACATTGTTGATACATTATCTGACATTGTTGGTATATTATCTGACATTGTCAGTTCATTATCTGACATTGTTGATACATTATCTGACATTCCCGGTACAATATCTGACATTGTGGGTACATTATCTGACATTGTCCGTTCATTATCTCACATTGTTGAAACATTATCTGACATTCCTGGTACATTATCTGACATTCCCAGAACATTATCTGACATTGTCGGTTCATTATCTGACATTGTCAGTACATTATCTGACATTGTTTATACATTTCTGACATTGTTGATACATTATCTGACATTGTCGGTACATTATTGGACATTGTCGGTACATTATCGGACATTCCCAGTACATTATCTGACATTGTCGGTACATTATCTGACATTGTTGGTACATTATCTGTCATTGTCAGAACATTATTTGACACTGTCCGTACATTATCTGACATTGTCGGTACATTATCTGTCATTGTTGGAACATTTTCTGACACTGTCCGTGCATTAATCTGTCATTGTCGGAACATTATTTGACACTGTCCGTACATTATCTGACATTCCCAGTACATTATCTGACATTGTTGATACATTATCTGACATTGTTGATACATTATCTGACATTGTCGGTACATTATCTGACATTGTTGATACATTATCTGACATTGTCTGTACGTTATCTGACATTCCCAGTACATTATCTGTCATTGTTGATACATTATCTGACTTGGTGGGTACATTATCTGTCATTGTTGGAACATTATTTGACACTGTCCGTACATTATCTGACATTGTTGATACATTATCTGACATTGTTGATACATTATCTGACATTGTTGATACATTATCTGACATTGTTGATACATTATCTGACATTGTTGGTATATTATCTGACATTGTCAGTTCATTATCTGACATTGTTGATACATTATCTGACATTCCCGGTACATTATCTGACATTGTGGGTACATTATCTGACATTGTGGGTACATTATCTGACATTGTCCGTTCATTATCTCACATTGTTGAAACATTATCTGACATTCCCGGTACATTATCTGACATTGTCGGTACATTATCTGACATTGTGGGTACATTATCTGACATTGTTGATACATTATCTGACATTGTCGGTACATTATCTGACATTGTTGGTTCATTATCTGACATTGTTGATACATTATCTGACATTGTTGATACATTATCTGACATTCCCAGAACATTATCTGACATTGTCGGTTCATTATTTGACTTTGTCAGTACATTATCTGACATTGTTTATACATTTCTGACATTGTTGATACATTATCTGACATTGTCGGTACATTATCTGACATTGTCGGTACATTATTGGACATTCCCAGTACATTATCTGACATTGTCGGTACATTATCTGACATTGTTGGTACATTATCTGTCATTGTCAGAACATTATTTGACACTGTCCTTACATTATCTGACATTGTCGGTACATTATCTGTCATTGTCGGAACATTTTCTGACACTGTCCGTACATTAATCTGTCATTGTCGGAACATTATCTGACATTGTCTGTACGTTATCTGACATTCCCAGTACATTATCTGTCATTGTTGATACATTATCTGACTTGGTGGGTACATTATCTGTCATTGTCGGAACATTATTTGACACTGTCCGTACATTATCTGACATTGTGGGTACATTATCTGACTTTTTGGGTACATTATCTGACATTGTTGATACATTATCTGACATTGTTGATACATTATCTGACATTGTCGGTACATTATCTGACATTGTCTGTATATTATCTGACATTCCCAGTACATTATCTGACATTGTGGGTACATTATCTGACATTGTCGGTACATTATTGGACATTCCCAGTACATTATCTGACATTGTCGGTACATTATCTGACATTGTTGGTACATTATCTGTCATTGTCAGAACATTATTTGACACTGTCCTTACATTATCTGACATTGTCGGTACATTATCTGTCATTGTCGGAACATTTTCTGACACTGTCCGTACATTAATCTGTCATTGTCGGAACATTATTTGACACTGTCCGTACATTATCTGACATTCCCAGTACAGTATCTGACATTGTTGATACATTATCTGACATTGTCGGTAC